TTGGCCACTAAAGAAACTGCAAAAACTAGATGAAAATCGCCCACAAAGAAAATTTATTAATAGATTATATTCCTATCAATACAATTTTAATGATAAAAAGCTCAAAACCAAATATAAATCATAATTTTAAGATAAACATAAGGATGCGTCTTTCCTACTCAAAGAAGGCAACGCCGACTGTATGCTGACTCAGTCAGATTTACAGACAGAAGCAAGAATATAGACCTGTGACGTAAAGAGAATAGGGATCAATGGCAAGTGAAGCAGCATCTAACAACCTGCGCTCTTCCGGGCTTATCTTCGCAACCTGCTCACGTATTATCTCGAAGTCAATGGCGGCCACTACTGGATAGTGCGTGAATAAGGGCAAATCAAGTGTATTTGAGTACTCAGAAAAATGTCTCCAGAGAAAGGCAGAAGCAAATAGGGGCTGAAAACACCTCTGATATCGTCAACCAATAATTGGAGTAACCTCGTTAAAACCAGCAACTCCCAACATAATACAATGGGCTCAATTTTATTGAGCATAAGTATGATTCACAATGATGCCATAGCCATCAGAGATCACTTCATTAGTTAAGCTATGGGATATGAACCTGGTCATGAATACACATTTTTCATTAGTTAACTACGTGAGCATGATTGCCTTGAGTTAAAGGCAATATCTAGAGCGTAGTTAGATTCGCCAGGAAGCTCTCATTTTTGCGAAAGCAACATCATATGGACCGAATCTACCATCTACTTGGTCTTCCCTTCCCTTCCTAATTCTTCACAAGTATTTTCTCTAATCTCTTACTCATATGGTTAATGTTTCCAATATAAAAAGCTAAGTTAGCTCCATTCGAGTCGCTTAATTGCACAATGCTCTCCCGCTCTTTCCTAATAATTGGCAGTGACATCTAATCACTTTTTTTCAGTATAATGAATGGCTCATATCAAGATTTCACAGAGAATGTCAACACCAGCTATATGGCTAAGTTGAAGGTACAGCCTATTTTATTGGAAGGAATCGAACCAGTGGATTGTTGAACTGGAATGTTATGGTTTTATGTAGTAATCTTAAATTAAAAAAAATTGCGCGAGCAATATAGTACTATTCCTTTTTTCTTAGGACATGTATTATTTCTACCCCTATTTTTCTCATGTAATAGGGAGCACAGAGTTCAGCCACGATAGGGAATGATGGAGTATTGGACTTTTCCTCGCTCCTAATTTTCTCTTCTACATTCTTAACAAAACCATGAGGCCTTTCTAAGAAAAGAATTAAATATTTTAAAGGAAAGCTACAAAATAAACCTGGTGTGAATCGCATTCCTCAATAAAGAACCTCAGCCTCTTCATTCGATCTATTCGACTCTGGAAACACCAGGCGTGACAGGATTTCTTCTCTCCAATTCCAATAGTTATACAAAATTCTCAACAATCAGTCAGGAAACCATGTAGCTCATACAGCACGTGGGAGAAACTGAACTTTAGAAAAGTCTGTCCAGTACATGAACTCCATTTTTCAAGGCATTCAATTGGCTCTTTATCGGTGATATTGCCTTGGGGATGGCTACTTCCTTGATCTGCACATTAGAAGTAAGATTTGCTGTCCCTTCTTCATCAACAAAACTTGCAAAAATTTTGTTCTTTTCTCGCAGGTTCACCTGTGTAGTCGGGGTTATATTGCCAGGGGCTGAAACAACAATGACAACTATATTAATCGTAGTAATAGAATAGCTAACGAAAGCAGGATGGTGACAAAGAACAAGAATTTTAACTGCAAAGGAACAAAGTGAAAGTGAAACAAATTTGATGTGACATTACAAAGAAAAAATACAGGTGACTAAACAAGTGATTAAACATACGTAAAAGTAAAAGAAAATATAAGATAGAGGTTCAAAATATGAAGAAACACTTAATGTTTTTTTCCTCTACACAATTCGAATCATACCATCTTTCAATCTGATGCTATAGATACGACTGGTTGTCCAAGAAGAAGTTGGAATCAAATGGTTTCTGATTAAGGTGATTCCACAATACTGGATATAACTTCTAATTTATCATTTGCCAGCATCTCAAAACAATTAGAGGGAAAGACCGAAACTTTCATCCCAAAATTCCTCAAAGTTCAAGGTTTCAAGGAGAAAAAATGTGCATTGAGATCGAATTCATGGTGCATTCAAAGCAACAAGGGGCAAGCGAATAGAGTTGAAATGTTAGAATTGCGGCTGCAGTTTTTGAGCAAGGTGCTCTAAATGCAAAAGATCAAAGTGAGGCGAGGGGCGCATGCTTGTGCGAGTGAAAACTTGTTGGACGGA